AACGTTCCTGGTGAATCTGAACCTCAAGTCCTATAATTTTATTACATTTCACACTTGTCTGAAGACAGACTGTGTGCCAAACAAATCACGGTACAATAATTTTTATAAAAGGAAAACCGTTCTATGATTGGCATCTGGGCTGAATACTGCCTGGTTGCCCAGACCAAGGCAGGTGAATTTGCTTGAGGAATGCACAACCGAAGCGTTCGGCTAACCAAAGCCTGATCCGCAAGGCAGCGGGTCGGTGTGTGAAAACCGCAGTCCATTGGGAGCCGGTGTCCAGTTCATCGGATCATACGCCCTTCGGACGGGGTCAAACGTCCATGGTGCCCAATCCAGCCGGTGACCATTGACACAACCGAAAAGCTGTGTGATTCGCACGTCTCTTCTTGGTTGGTTTGGAACCAGGGTTTTTGGCCAACTCCCCTAGGTGAACTACCAATACTCCACCAACCCGGTTATAGCCCCGGATGTCGGCTATTCGTCCTCTCACTTTGTTGGGAAAACACCTCTGCCATGAGAAGGCAGTGTGGAGAGCTTCCTCGGTAGGGACTATATGAGACGCTTCGTCGTATGGGAGCATTTATCGAGGTGCAAGGGAAAAGTGACCAGCCGCAACCCTGGACACACCCCCTCCGAAACACTGAATATCTCATGAGTCAGCAACCCACAGATGGAGAAAAAGACCATCCGGGATTGAACCAAGTGTAGGTGGCGTCTGAAATATCAGTCCACGAAGAGTCTCAAGAAAGACCGTGAAAACTGGTGGACAACAATAGCACGTAAATGTGACATAACCATGGCATCAAGGAATATTCAAGGACTGTACCAACTAATATGCAGCATCGGAGATCAGAAAACCTGTCAATGAAACAATCTGCGACAAAAATGGGCAGACTATTCACAACAGGGAATAACGGCTTAACCGATGGACTGATGATTTCAACGAACACTTCGGCTGGCCTGAAGCGAATCAGCTTATCATGTTCGTTGAACTGAAGCACTTGGAGCACGTTCAATCAATTTAGAGCGGATTACTGATCGTCCCAATTTTCGAGAAAGGATCTCGTAAGAACTGCGCAAACCATCACTGGTTCAGTTTGAAATATTTCGCCATCGCCATTCAAATTCATCGTAGATGAAGTGCAGAAAAACACACGCAGTGATTTCTAAAGTGTTGATAATGAACCGCCAGCTAGAGAAAAGCTGTGCGACATGAAGTACCTTGGCGATATAGCTTGTCTGTTCGAATGTATGGAGAACACGCATGATCCACTAGAGAAACTGACAAGCTCCGTTACTCAATTTGATATAGAAATAATATAGAAATATATCTTTTCACTTCCTTTTTTATTTATCGAATATACAAATGTACAGACAACATTCAGGAAAGGGGGCCGCAGCCATACAAAGGCTGCCTGGAAGACGGGTGGAGGTGGAGCGGTTCGAACCCGGGATTCACAAGTTGGTGATCTAACAACTCGGCCACCACCACCCCGCTTCGCACCTTCAAATTGCTAAGTGTGGTGCTCTGAGACAGGGCATCGACTAGTTTACGTACGTCTAACGGCCGCCTACCGCATGCTTTATGTGTAGTTGCTGCTCAGGGTAGGAAACCGCGTGAAAGTCGACAGATGATGTGAAAACGAGGCATAAAGGAGTTCGGGGAACGATGCGGTAGAGTGGGTGCTTACTGTCCTCCAAGCGGCGGCCGGAAAATCCTGGTAATTGGTTGATTTGAGACACTGAAGACGATGGGAAATCGATCAGAATGCTTGAACTGCGTACTGTGTTGACTGAAGAGATTCACACTTTACTTCTCCTGCCTCAAAATAAGCATAAACCCACTCCATTTTACACATTTTCACTCACCTGGAATGCTTTTTGAGTCTATCATCAATCGGTAATGTTCACTTCACCGTATTCCGCTATACGATAGTGAGGATACAGTGGACAAAATGCAGGTTCACCGATCAATGGTGGGTTGATATTCTAGGCTCATAAACGTTTCCCTTTTATCCAAGTAATCCTTTCCGTGAGACGAAAATTTCTATGCAACCTACAAAGTTCTCCAATACAACCGTAAGATCAATAGCTTCTGTATCTTCCAGCTCGAAGAGTGTCATCGAACACCTTGGAGATAAGTATCAAAGAAGGAATCCATTCGGTTAGCTTTTGATGCATAGCATCTCAAAATGTGGTGCTATTGCAAGGGCGAATGCTTCAATATCAGCCCTATACACCGCCGAAGTCTCGTCATTCCTGTAAGCAATCCCCTCACAGACGATGTCATTTAGTTCCGAAAATAACATACGCCGACCTGATCTATTCTTGTATTCCTTAGCATTTCCTTCATCCATCCATTAACTGAGGTGATAGTACCATTCTCTACTTTTTGGGGCCCATCGGAGATCAAGCGTTTCCTTTTAGCAAAAAAACATGATTATTTCCCAGGAGTCTTCATTTCTTTTCTTGCAATCGATAGGATAGCTCTCTATTTTAGCATTCGTCTTGCCGGAACGTCAAGACAGTATTTCGTAATTCTTATGATTACATCACCTCCGAAAGCCTTAGTATGGTCGGGGTGGGTGTCTAGGGCTGCGGCTGGTCACCGTTCTCTTGCACCTCGCTAAATACCCCCATACGACCAAGCATCTCAAACAGCCTATCCTGAGGAAAACCTACACACTGCCTTCTCGTGGCGAGTGTTTTCCCACCAAAGTGAGAGAACGAATAGCTGATATTCAAGAGTATAATCAGGGCGATGGAAGTTCACACACGGGAGTTGGATAAAAACCTTCATTCCAAACCAACCAAAGGGAGGAGTGAGAGACACACTCACTGACACCTTCCTGGTTGTGGTAGAAATCACCGGCTCAATTGGGCACCTTGGACATTTGACCCCATCCAAAAGGACATCTGCCCCCAATGGATTACGGGTTTCACACACAGCCCAGCCGCTTTGCCGGTTAGGCTTTGGCTAGCCGAAGGCTCCGGTTGTGAACTGTCTCTGCCTGGACAATCCGCAGTATTCTGCCCACGTGCAAATAATGGATATTTTTCTTTTTTTATAAAGATTATTGTACTGCGATATGTCTATCATACATTCTGGCCTCAAACGTGTGTGAAATATGATAATAATATCGCAGTACAATAATCTTTATAAAAAAAGAAAAATAT